CAACCTGTCTACCTGAGCTCACGTTGGTCCGTTTATGTACATGATATAAAGTATAAATCATCTGTAAAATCATCAAAAACTCAGTAAGATATTATTCAACCTCTGAGGTTTGAACGTGAAGTTATTAAAAGTTACTTTACAAGTCTAACTACGGTCGGATGCAGGCAGACGAGCTGCCGGTAATAGCGCACCGGCACGCAATGCATCTTGGGATATGCTGGGCCGCGAAGGATCCATCAGATGTGTCCTCCAAATCGCCGACGAGAAGGCTGCATTGAAGGACTCTTCAACAAAAATGCGAAATGGGACAGCACTAGTCGCAGCGCTGTGACGCAACCGGTCTACGAATGCAGCCTCCGAAGGATGCAGCCCCTGAATTGAGACACAGCTCTTGATTCAATTATGAGGACTTAACTGCAGCGCTGTAAGTTTACAAGCCAAAGATCCATTACAAAGAGTTTGAAATGTAGTTAAACACACTTAAATGCTGTTCCAACAAAGAGGCCATAAGAACAGTAATGGCATGCATTGCCTGTGATATATGTTTGTAATTACATAATCAGAGTTTGTGCCTTAGTGTCCCCCATTTTCTCTTTATATTGTTTATTTACATTTTTTCTGTTTTTATGCTTTTATTTCTGTCTATATTTTTATTTTTTTGCGGTTGCCCCCCTCGCATGTTAGTTTAAATGTCTGTATTTTGCCGTTTCTTACTGACAATTTGTGAAATTGTACATGTGCAACTGTTAAATAAAAAAAGGAAAAACAAACTCAAACGAGCCTATCAGCCAATTGGTGAAGCAATACGTCATCAAACGTCGACGGAAGTAGGTCGGTCACATGCGGATGCTGTAACGAGAGACAGCTCCAGAAATGGCGACGTGCGCCAAGATGATCTTCGCTGCTAGACATCTGCACAGAAAGTCAGCTCTGGCTGTAAAACTAAACTGGTCCGGGGCATTCAGGACCGGCAACAGCCGCCCCTTCCTGACCGACACATCAGCCCTGAGCCGGCTCCAGTCTCCACAGTCCTTCTCTAACGTTCCGGTCAGCACAGCAATGACAGCGGGCTGCAGGCTGACCGTCACCCGTCACCGGTGGATGCGGGTCGGACTCGTTCTCCGTGGCCAAACCGATTTCCTCACACCGACCTCTCGACCCTATATGATTCAGGACAGAATGTTCGGGAACCGGGTAGGCGACGCGGGCTTCTCGGGGGAGGACGGCGGGGACAGTGCGGGCTCTGGGGGAGAAGAGTCTGGGGGAGATGGGGGGGTGCCCTATGGACCCCAGATGACCGCCCTCACCCCCATGATGGTCCCAGAGGTGTTTCCTAATGTGCCGCTGATCGCTGTGAGCAGGAACCCAGTGTTCCCCCGCTTCATCAAGATCATAGAGGTGAGGATGATGCTTCTATTGCCTTCAAGGACACGCGGATGACGCAACCACACAGCAGCGCTGCTGTCTTTGCAGTGAGAGATCGCTGTGTGTCGTAACGGGGTCAGCTCGATCTATTGCTCACAACCTGTTGTTGAAGACGAGGCCGTCATCGTGTGTTGTACTGTCCCTTTAGAAACGTTGAGTTCATTTGTAGCTGCGTTCTTCTTCAGCACTCAGGAAAACAATTTACCCCAAACTGCAACACCCCCCTGTACAGCTCTGTAGACAGCTGGAACCTATTCTCAATAAAGCTCCTTTAATGGGGCATCCCACTGAGTCAGCACATGGTAATGAACTCGTCCTGACATGTAAGAGGATGGTGAATGGTCTTCTGACCACAGAAAGTGCATCAATTGATGACTACCTGCTGATCTAATGCTCATTCACACACACTCTCATGATGGACACGTTGACATGTGGGCTGGAGGAGCTAGCCATCGAACTGCTGATTTTTAGTGGACACCCACAGCCACCACATGTCCCAGTGAGGTCACCAGGGTTATCTCGGCACAGGTTTGGAGATTTTTTTTAAAATTATATTACACATAGTTTCATCAAATACTGACACTTATAGTGCAAAAGATATTTAAGGCCGCAAATGAAATTAGCGGTGTATTAGAAATACCTAATCTTTAGGACTAAAGAGACTGTTGCCTGCCAATTCTTTTATCTGGACCGTTCTACAATTCCTCAGACTCTGCAGATGTGTGACATCTGTCACCACATTAGCTTCTGCACTGATAACTGATTGGTTACGTGGACTAACAAATTCCCAAAACTCCTGTTGGGTGATTTCCCAGACGATTACTGGAATGACCCGAAAGTTCCCTTCCTTTTAGAAGGATTACCGAATGTTACATACAAGGGTGGATCGCTGTGGTGTGTGTGTAACTCCTGTCTTTCTCCCTGTCAGGTAAAGAACAAGGCACTGATGGAGCTGTTGAGGAGGAAGGTTCGTCTGGCTCAGCCGTATGCTGGCGTCTTCCTGAAGAGAGATGATCAGTAAGTCTCATCTGCTCTAGTCATTGATGGTCGAGTTCATACATGCCTGAGAAAAAGAGCTGTAGTCCTCGACCGTCCCATGTTACTGTTACTGGCTTTAACTGCTAAAACCTCATGTGAATGGAACATCTGGGCTCCTTTAATTAGAGGTGAGAATCACCAGCAGCCCCACGATGCTATATTACCACCATACTTGAGTCACAGTACCATTTTATTTCCATGTATTGTGATTTATTACTGGAAATGATGCAGTTTGTGAACATCTGTTTCATCGATGAGATAACATGTTCATTGGTTCATCTCACTTCAGTGATTTTTATTGCAGCACAATGGTTTTGTCAGTGTTATGACCAACACTGTCAAAACAACTCTTCATTCATTTCATCATCATCAAACTGTACTGCTTGTATTAGTCTACATCAGGGGTCACTAATAGGCGGACCTGGTCCGGACACCGATGTATCCGGATCCTGGACCAACAACTGATAGATAATTAAGAATTATTTCATTTTGACGCAGAGCTTCTATTTTAACTGGCACACCTTTACTATCCTTTACGTTCAGTGGTCCAGGAAACACAGCAACCAATTCATTGGATTGTACATCATCTCACGTGAGTTGAAGTGTAGACTTGTTTGATCCATTGAATTAAAGCTGAAAGTCTTCACTTCAACCACATATTGACTGATTAGGTTCAAATCCACTGGAGCCGTGTAAAGAGGCAACATTAGAAAGATTGTGTCACAGTCCGGATACCTCTGGCCCTGACTGTGTGTGCAGCGTATTCTATCCTTTGTCTTTTTAAGTCTGCCTGTGAACCACTTTGATGCTCGCTTTGATAAGTTCTATATAAATAAGCTTTGTTATTATCAATCACACAAGATATGTTTTCAGATCAAACCTTTGTTGCACAATATGAGATTAATAGCCAACAATATAGCGTTAAATATTACAACTACACCGAAAAATAGGATTTTCTACAAAAGGTGGTGTTTGTTGTCAAAATGAAGAGCCAATCAGTTAATAGATCTATCAGTCATTGACCACGTGTGCATGATGTCAGAGCAGAGACACAAATGTAACCAGCATGCATCGCTGGTGATCCGTCTCAAACAAGCCTATTCTGGCCTTTTTAAAGTGTCTTCAATTAAATATGACGTATGTGACATCTGTCCATTGTTTTGTTATACTGCTATATCTTATGATCTCTGTCAGATGAGCACAACCAGTTCATGACAACTTATATATTTACTATTATTTTAATTTGAACTTGGCATAATGTGAATAGAAGGATCACATTTAGACTTTTATCATGTGAAGTACTCCACGTGTTAGTACGGAAAGTACTATACAAAGAGTGACATACATTATTTATATATATATATATATATATATA